CATCACCTGTTAAGAGAGAACTGGGTTATTGGGCATACCCATAGTAGGGCTTAAGTATTTTGGAAAGGTCAACCTTAGAGGCGATATCAGGTAGCCAGGACACTGGTCCTGTATGCCCCTTGCCAGGGGACCTGGCGGAGGAGTTAACAGATTATAAATAGACTGCCATCTTGGATGGATTCCTTTGGTAACCAGACCTGAACACAGAGCATCTTTGAGTAAAGGTCATCTTGTGACCCCCTCTTGGTGTCTCCCTCACATCTTCAATTTGAGTGGAAAGGATGTCTTTTCACATCTTGTCAGCTTTGTGGTTACCAGTCTTTCTGCACAAGTGATTGATTCCCCACGAGGATTGGGTGGAAAATTAATGTAAAGGGGTTTTACTGCTATAAATATAGCTCATTGACGTTTTGGTGGACAGCAGGCACAATAGAGCCTGTCCCAGGGCTACAGCTGGTTAAATAGGGAAATTTGTATTCATTTCACAGCTTTCAACCAGAGTAAACTGTTCTCCCCAACAGGGATCTTAAGAAAATGTTCTGAAGTATCACTAGTCTAAAAATATCCACTGGTAAAGTTTTGGATACACTGTGTAACTGAGAAGAGGGGAAGTAGAGAAGGCTGAGAAAATAACCAAGCATCAAATAAAAAGGAACTGAAATTTAAATAGAAAAGCCCTAAAATCTATAAAAGCAAGCGCTTATGTAAAAGAGTGCTGTAAATGAGCTATTCATATGACCCCAGATGTTGATTTCCAAATTAACTATTATTTGTTTCTCTGACACAAGTGTTACTATCTGCTGTGTATTAAATCAGTACTTTTCTATTTTCATCATAGTTTGTCTAAAAATAATTTCCTTTCTCTTCAGAAGCAGATTTTTGGCATTCGGGGCTTTTTGCTTTGTAAATAAAAAAACTGCGTTAGGTTGTATTCATTTGTTTTTCTTTTATGTCCCTCTCCCTTTTTTCCTATTAAGTTTCCTTTCAGGGAATGTGTATTGTATGAGTGTTTGTAAGAGTGAAAACTGGAGATAGAGCAGGTGTTCCATCAATAAAAGATTAGTGAATACATGATGGTCTGAGATAGACTTCTCTAGAAAGGAACCAGGGCTCCTTGGAGACATGATGGGTTCGAGGAAGGGGACAGAAAAACAGAAGGTGAACCTGGAATATCTTTCTGTGCCAGAAAGTAAGCAAGTGCTTCAACAAGTGATGGGGGAGGGTACCCCCCTGGTGGTCCTGTGGTTAAGAATCCGCTTGCCAATGGAGGGGATTCAGGTTCGATCCCTGGTCTGGGAACTAAGATCCCACATGCCACAGGGCAACTAAGTCCATGCACCAAAACTCCTAGGGGCTGCTGCAACGAAGACCCAGTGCAGCCAAAAATAAATTAATAGGCAGTTTTTGAAAAGTGATGGGGGCAAGTCTAAAGGACCCAGGAGCCATTGAGTGGCCTCCAACAGGCCATATCCAGGCTGCTCTGTGGGTATGTGGTCAGACCCGAATTTAATAGCAAATGTTAGCAAATTATGTACCTTTAAAAGACCTTTTATTGAAATTAATTATTCATTTTTATGACTGGATTATAGTCCCTTTTACAGACTACTGGGAATCGCCCAATAATTTACAACTGAAGTAAGATGTTCTGTAATCTCATATGCACTGGGACCATATTTTTTACAACAAAAATGTGCAAAAGTAGGAGGTAGTTTAACAAAATATTTGAAATTAGGATGGCTAGAAAATCTAGGATACATGGTTGATATACACATACACATGTGTGTATAAATATATACATATGTGTTGTTGTTCAGTTGCTTAGTCATGTCTGAGTCTCTGTGATCCCATGAACTGCAGCACACCAGGCTTCCGTGTCCTTCACTGTCTCCCCGAGTTTGCTCAAACTCATGTCTATTGAGTCAGTGATGCCATCCAACCATCTCATCCCCTGTCACCCCCTTCTCCTCCTGCCCTGTCTTTCCCAGCATCAGGATCTCTTCCAAAGAGTCAGCTCTTCGCATCAGGTGGCCACAGTATTGGAGTCTCAGCTTCAGCATCAGTCCTTCCAATGAATGAATGTTCAGGTGTACACATGTTCATATCCATAGCAGGTCTCTGTAAACTGACAATTCCACATTCGGTCACCAGGTGGCGCCTGGCTGGTGTAAGAAAAATGTACGAGGAAACTGATGAACACCAGGATAAATAGGCCAACGAGGAACTTGCTTTGTATTCACACAGAGCCTTGATCAGCAACCCCTGGGAACGCATTGAAAGAGTTCCTCTGGCTGAGTGCTATACCACGTCCTTCAAGACGCCTTCCAGATTACCTCAGCCAGAAACAATCACTTCCTTTGTAGTTGCCCTTTAGTTTGGCTTTTCTCTGTCTGCTCAGTGTTACCGTTATTTGCGTAGCAATATCATCTTCCTCATAACGCTGCTCCCTGAAAGAGCAGGACGTCGTCTTTTCCACTTGAAGTCTCTTTGCACGCAGCACTGAGGGTTGTGGATAAGACTCTGGGTTACTGAAAGGCTGCTAAGGCAGAAGCTTTGGTAGGTAGGAGCCTGCAAACCAGGTTAGTTTCTCCTAAAGAGATTTTCAATGGTTTTCTTCTGTGGTGGGGGAGAGGGGTAAGGAGCTAAAATGTAAGCATGGATTTATTATACTATAAAGGCTGTATGCGTGTGCGCTTAGTCACTCGGTCATGTCCAACTCCTTGCGACCCCATGGACTGTAGCCTGCCAGGCTCCTCTGTCCGTGGGATTCTTCAGGCAAGAATGTTGGAGTGGATAACCATTCCCTGCTCTAGGGAATCTTCCCGACTCAGGGATTGAACCTGAGTCTCCTGCATCGGCAAACAGGTTCTTTACCACTGAGCTACCAAGGAAGCCCACTACAAAGGATAGTTTGTATATATAAACAGTTGATCCCAGGGATGTCTTTCCTTGAGCTCTGAATAATTTGTGTTCCATTGCCAGTTATCATCAAATGCAATATTCTAAGTGGGAGATGAGGAACACTAGCTTTCCCCCCATCCTTTTCTTTTATTTTTCTTCTTTGGGGGAAGGATGTGGAGAAAAGGGCAAAGGGTGAAGGGAGAACCTCTAATTTTGGGGGGTTTTTTTTGAACTCAGGTAGGAGTTATGGATAGCTCTCAAGTACCCGTGCAAATAAATATGATTAACTTCGCTACTCCAGAAAAAAATTTTAATCCCAAAGTCATTTATTTTGGCTTTAGAATAGACAAGCATTTGTGTCGGGATTTCCTGCCTAATTACTTTTTGCTTAAGCTTATTTAAAAATTGTTTTAAATTCCTTTAGTGTGACAGCCCAGCAGAATGGTCGGGGGTGGGGTGGAGAAACAGGCCACAGATGGGGTCTGAACCAGGATTTCAGCTTTCCTGTATAAAAGCCTCCTGATACGCTGCATGCAGGAGAGCAAGGTTGAAATTAGCTTTCTGGAGAACAATTTGGCAACATAGTTTTAAGAGTCTTAAAAATATGCTTACTCTTTGATCCAGTAATTCCACTTCTAGGAATTTGTCCTAAGGAAATAATCAAGCGGGCACGCAGAAATGTAGGGACAAGGCATTCACCGTGACATTTATATCAGGAAAAAAAAAAAGTAAAACCCCAACTGAAAACACTGAATAACATGGAATTGATTAAAGTTGGCCCCATCTTCATTGTGGGGTGCTGGATCTTTAGTTGCGGCTTGTGGGATCTAGTTCCCTGATCAGGGATCGAACCCGAAACCCCTGCATTGGGAGCATGGAGTCTTAGCCACTAGACCACCAGAAAGTGTTAGTTGCTCAGTCATGTGCAACTCTTTGCAACCCCATGGACTGGGGCCTGCTAGGCTCCTCTGTCCATGGGATTCTTCAGGCAAGAACACTGGAGTGGATAGCGATTCCCTTCTCCAGGAGATCTTCCTGACCCAGGGATCGAACCAAGGTCTCCTGGATTGTAGGCAGATTCTTTACCATCTGAGCCTCCAGGGAGGCCCAGACCACCAGGGAAGTCCCTCAGTGTATTCTCTTAAGGGTCACATTCATACACATGAAGTATCAGCGATCACACTGAATACACAAAATCAGATGTATAATACCATAGGTTCAATTATGTTTCCCAAGTAAAACAGTTATAGTCAGCAAAAGTCCATGAAAGCACAGAGTTTCGTGTGGATGTTCTGTTTTATAAAAGCAGCACAAGAGAGCAGACTCTTCAGAGCTAGGAGGACCACGTTTTTACAAAGCTTCAAACACTAGTAGGTTTTCAGGGAACCGCATGTGAAAAATGTTTACTGCCCAAGTGACATTATAAGAATACCAGGAGCATTGTAGATCACCCTGATTAATCTTCTTCAAGCAATTCCCAATTAAATATTTTACTGTGCCCCCCTTTCTTATTTCCTCATTGTCATCACCTCACAACTCCAAACCCAGATGTCTAAACAGGGAGAGAGAGTGAGAGTGTAAAGTAAATGATGGACAATCGAAAACCTTTGATGACCCTAGAAGAGCTCTTGGCTCATGGTTTTTTTCTTTGTTTGTTTTCTAAAAACCCTCTGCTTTATATGATCAGCTGCGGAGGAAATTTGTTTTTCACTGTTTGCGGGCCTTCACTGTACACACGTTGGGGTTCTCTTGTGTTTGCAGTTCCTAAACTCTTCAGACACCATGCAGCTTCGCCGAAGGAAAATCCTTGCAGGTCCGGCTCCCCGTGGTGTAAGGTCAGGCGGAAAAGCCTTTTGTGATTAACTTGGCCACCGTGTGTCGCATGGTATTTGGAACTGCAGTGGGAGCTTTTATTAGTTGTCCACATTTTGAATGCTGACTCACATAAGCTTCATCTAATGGGAAAGGCAGATAACTGTAGCATTTTGGATGCTGAACGCTCCCACCCTGCCCTCCCAGCAGCTGTGACCTTGAGCAGGTTCACTTACAATGGTGATGGGTCTTTCTAAACACACTGTCTTTTCCCACTTTGTTTCCGACAGTTTCCTTATGCAGCCCCCCCTCCCCAAGAACCAGTGAAGACTCTGAGAAGCCTGATCAACATCCGAAAGGACACCCTGAGACTCGTCAAGTAAGTTCAGGTTCCCAGCTGGGGGGCAGCCGACTCCCCAGGGGACCCACAGAACTGTTTCTGCCAGACCCAGAGCCCAGCCTCCAGGCCTCCAGGCTTCCAGTCTGTGGGCTGCTTGCATGAGATGTCTCTGCACCTGGATTGTTCAGAACTTTCTGAGACAGTTAGTGTTGGTGAGGAACCTTCTCTTTTCTGAAAGCCATCGTGGTTATCCCAACCTGATGAACTGTCCAAAACAAAGAATTGTTGAGGGAGAAAGTGAATTTTGCAGATACCAGACAAACCTATGTGAAAATGGGATATTTGAACTTGGCACAGGAAGTGCTTACTTTCCTGCTTATATTTACTTTTTAGTTTATTCTTAATCTCATGTGCCTTTCCTCTGGCACCCTGAGTTTGCTATTTAATCACCATCATCAGTATTAGTTATCATCAGCATCTGACTTCTTTGTGCTATCTCTGAGATAGTGTGTGTGTATGTATGTGTGTGTGTGTGTGTGTGTGTGTGTGTGTGTCTGCACTATGTGGCTTGTGGGATCTTAGTTCCCCAACCAGGGATTGAACTTACACCCCCTGCAGTGGAAGCTCAGAGTCTTAACTGCTGTACCACCAGGGAAGTCCTGGAGATAGTATGATTTTTAAACCGATGCTGCCCTCCAGATAGCAAATCTGTCTACCAAGAGTTTGGGTTCGAATTAGTGGTTAATGCATAGAGAACTAAGCAGCTGGGGGAGGAAAAAAAAGAGCACAAACTCTGATAAAAGCTTGTGCAGGAAAAGGAAAATGATTAGAGATTACTCTGTGGCTGAGCTGTGAATAATGCTGATAGACTCATTTGGATAGAGGAAGATGTACTGAGCTAACAAAATCATGGTGTGTTACACGCAGGAGGGAACAGCACTGTGTGGAGCAGAGGGAAGGAAGGGAAAGAACGTCTTGGGACTTCCCTGGTGGCTCAGGGTTAAGAATCTGCCAGTCAACATGGGACACAGGTTCAGTCCCTGGTCCAGGAAGACCCCACCGGCCACAGGGCAATGTGCCACAGCTCCCGAGCCCACGCTCCAGAGCCTGGGCTCTGTGACCAGAGAGGTCACCACACCTGGAAAAGCCCGCACACAGCACCGACATAAATAAAGAATAATTTTTTTTTTTTAAGAATAATTTTTAAAAAACCTTTTAAAAAGAAAGCCTTTTTCCCATAGTAGAAAGTCAGTAAGTGAAAGTGAAGTCGCTCGTCATATCCAACTCTTTGGGACCCCACGGACTGTAGCCTACCACGCTCCTCCGTCCATGGAATTCTCCAGGCAAGAATACTGGAGTGGGTTGCCATTTCCTTCTCCAGGGGATCTTCCCGACCCAGGGGTCGAACCCGGGTCTCCCGCATTATAAGCAGACGCTTCACTATCTGAGCCACCAGGGCATCCCAGAATACTGGTGAGTGAGTGAATGAGTGAAAGTCACTCAGTCGTGTCTGACTCTTTGCGGCCCCATGGGCTACACAGTCAATGGAATTCTCCAGACCAGAATACTGGAGTGGGTAGCCTTTCCCTTCTCCAGGGGATCTTCCCAACCCAGGGACTAAACCCAGGTCTCCCACACTGCAGGTGCATTCTTTACTAGCCACAAGGGAGGCCAAGTCAGTAGACAGCGCCTAAAGCTGAAAAAGCAACCTGAACCTGTTATTTCAAAGCATGCAGGTAAATGCCAGAAGCTGTCAGCTGCAGAGGGAAAGTCGGTTTTCTCTGAAGAAGCAGAAAACGGGCAGAAAGTGACCCGCTGCGTTTTTGTCACAAGCCTTGTGGAAACTATTTAAACGATGGCATGAGTAACTTTGATTAAAGTAAAAGCAATTTTTTTAAAAAAAGTCTGGCAGACGCACAAGGATATGAACTGTGGCACCATGAAGTATCAGAAATTGCCTAAATTCCCCCCATAGCAGTAACAGTGTGCTCTGCCGTCATTCAGAATGAGGGTGGAGGCCTAAGTGTGTGATCACGGAGGGAAGCCCACATTCTGTTCAGTTAAAAAAGAAGAGAAGTGACTTCCCTGGCGTTCCAGTGCGTAAGACTCAGGCATCCAATACAGGGGCCCCGAGTTCGATCCCCAGTCAGGGCACTAGATCCCACATGCCAGTCTGCATGCTGCAACTAAGATGCAGCACAGCCATTAAAATAAATAAATAAATTTTTATAAAATAGGAAAAGAAGGGAATTCCCTGGCGGTTCAGTGGTTAGGACTCCTTGCTTCCACTGCAGGGACCGTGGATTCAATCTCTGATCAGGGAGCCAGGATCCCACCAAAAGAAAAAGAGAAGGAAAAAGATCACTTTAAACATGTTAATTGGCTACCCCCGAATGCCACGTCCCTGTGGTTTTTCTAGATGTGCCGAGGAAGTGAAGACCCCGGGGGAAGAGGCAGGCAGAGCGAAGGTCCACTACAACGTGGAGTTCACCTTTGACACGGACGCGCGGGTGGCCATCACCATCTATTACCAAGCCACCGAAGAGTTCCAGAATGGCATCGCCAGGTAAGAACAAGCGGCCACGGGAGCCGCGTCCTTCCCACACAGGCCAGGGTCCGTGCCTGACGCGCTCCCCTGCGGAGGAAAATGTTCTTTTTCTACACTCAAGTGAGAACTGTTCCTGAATTTGGATTTTCTTACTTATACAGTCTTTTTCCCTTTTTCCCTTCAAACTATGCCATCTTGGTACAGTGACAGGTAGCAGCATATAGTCCTTCAGGTCATCACAATGCTGTTAGAAATTGATTAAGCTGGGACGACTTCCTGGTCCAGTGGCTAAGATTCCACGTTCCCAATGCAGGGGGTCCGGGGTTCAATCCTTGGGCAGGGAACCTAGATCTTGCATGCCCCAACTAAGACCTAGCACAGCCAAATAAATAAATATTTAAAAAATGTTTCAAGCTTCATTTCTGTGGATGTGTGGGTTGAATAGATACCTTTTAAAAAATATTTACTTATTTATTTTTGGCTGTGTTAGGCCTTAGCTGTGGCAGGATCTCCACCGCAGCATACAGGATCTTTTCATTGCAGCAGGAGACTTCGTTGTCCCAAAGCAGGTGAGATCTTCATTCCCTGACCAGGGATCAAACCTGCGTCCCCTGCATTGGAAGGTGGATTCTTAATCACTGAACCACCAACGCTCACTCAGTCGTGTCCGACTCTTTGCGGCCCCATGGACTGTAGCCCGCCAGGCTCCTCTGTCCACGGGATTCTCCAGGCAAGAATGCTGGAGTGGGTTGCCATTTCCTCCTCCAGGGGATCTTCCCAACCTGGAGATCAAACCCTGGGATCAAACCCAAGTCTCTTGTGTCTCCTGCATTGGCAGGCAGATTCTTTACCACTAGTGCCACCTGGGAAGCCCTCATAGGGAAGTGCCTAAATAGATAACTTCAATAGCATCACCAAGCAAGGGCAAAGAAAAGAGATTATAAAGAGGTCTTTTTTCTTTTTTTTTCTGTTCCACTCTATACTGAGAGCCTGTTGATAATTGACAACAGACATGGAACAGAGGAAACGATCAGATCCTCTGGGCGAGACAGTAACTTGTGCTTTGCTTCCCACTTTGACCAACAGCTACATCCCCAAAGACAACAGCCTGCAGTCGGAGACGGTGCACTATAAGCGCGGGGTGTGCCAACAGTTCTGCCTGCCCTCACACACCGTGGACCCCTCCGAGTGGGCGGAAGAGGAGGTGAGCAGCCAGCTGGCGGAGCAGACCAGCCACCGGGAGAAAGCGCAGGGCAGGTTCCACGCACAGACCTGCAGGGTGTGGGAGCTCCTTGGGACCCCGGCCGGCAGCACAGAACCAGCCCAGGTGCTCAAAGGCATGCTCCCCTTCAGCCTTCTAATGCCTTCATGCCCTGGGAAGGACATATCTAATTTTCTATCCCAGAGCAGCCCCTTAATTAACCTAGGATATTTTAGGAAAGCCGTGCCCAAAGGAAAGACCTACAGATTAGAAGCCTTTACATCTATGAGGTTTCTTACAGAGAGACCGGTAGCCTTCAACTCAATGGATGCAGGTAGTTGGAAATGGCAACCCACTCCAGGATGCTTGCCTGGAAAATCCCAGGGACAGAGGAGCCTGGTGGGCTAAAGTCCGTGCTGTTGCAAGAGTCAGACACGACTTAGAGACTAAACCACCGGGTAGTTACCAGGTTGATGGGTGAGGAGCTGAGATGAAGTTAAGGCCTCCCTTTCTGATGGATAAGTTCGTCCTCTGAATGTAAATCCCCCTCCTCCCTCCCGTTTTTCTTTTCTTTCCCTTCAGCTTGGCTTCGACCTAGACAGGGAGGTTTACCCGTTGGTGGTCCACGCCGTGGTGGATGAAGGCGATGGTACGGGTGCTTCCTGTCTTCTGGGCTGCACGCAGGCCCGTTTGTGGCAGGCAGGCTGGCAGCGACTGCGGCCTCAGATCCACAAGGCTCCTCCACGGGCATCAGTTTCCACATCCCGGCACCCTCCTGCCCCCAGCCTCCTCGGGCACCGACAGTCCTACTGGGTGACTTAACCTCCCCCTCCCTGTGAAGCCAGAGGGTCGCAGGGGCTCGGGGAGGGTGGGTGGGGTCAAGCTGTATCATTAGCTTTCTTCTTCCCCATCGTGTGCCTTTCTTTCTTTCAGAGTATTTTGGCCATTGCCACGTCCTGCTGGGCACTTTTGAAAAGGTCAGTGGCTGACATCATGGGCCTTGCTTTGGTACGCACTGCTCTGTCTCTCCTCCAAGGATGCGTGGAGGCCCCTTCTCTGGCTGCCTGGGCTCGGCAGAGCGGGTCTGGCTGGGAGGCTGCGGGAAGCCGGGGGGAGCAACCCCTGCACACCCAGGGCCACACAGGGCCGAGTTCCAGCTCGGCCAGAAGCTTGCTGATGCCCCGAGACTCCTTAGGCCTCGTTTTGTCTTCTTAAATCGGAAGGGCCAGACTGCATGCTTGAGGACCCTTCCAGAATGAGGAATCTGTCATTCCACTGTCCGGGGCGGGGGTGGGGGGGTCCAAGAACGTGCCTAACTGAGAGAAGTAAAGGGAGAGCAGCTGGTCCTCATCTCCCTCCCTCCTCGTCATAACTGTCGCCTTTTCGTGTTTTCGCCGCAGCACTCAGATGGCACTTTCTGTGTCAAGCCCCTCAAACAGAAACAAGTGGTGAGTATTCAAGGGCCAGGGACTGTTGGTGTTTCCCCTTCACTCGCTCGCTCTCCCCCCACTGTTTAGCTAAGCACTCTTCTTCCCCCCTCCCTGCCTTTTTTTTTTTTTTTAATCAAAGAAGAAAAGCAAAAAGGGATGCTTTTCTGTGTTAGAAACGACTTGGGTGGCCTGAAAGGAATACCGATTTGGACTGTCTGTTGTTCCAGAATTGGTGGTGGTGAGGCAGCCAGTAGCTGAGCAAAGGACTTCAGAAAACGAAAGGACTGAGATTTGTCTCCTGACATTAGGTTTAGGGAGAACTCTTTTTATTGAAAATGCCAGGCTGAGAAACTTAACATTTACAGCTACAAGAATAAACTATCAGGGTCTGATTCAGGGCCAATTAGAGCTCTTGGCTTAACGTATCCCAACATTGCTTTTCTCAAATTCAAAATCTGCTGGCCATGTGCCCCCTTCCAGGATGGTGGGCAAGTTATGCAAGTATCTGCTGGAAGTCCTGACCCCTGAGGCCGGGGCAGAGCCGCGGAGGACGGGAGGGGAGAGTGGAGTGGGTGGCATTTCCAAGCGAGGGTGGCTCATCACGTGGAGGGTGAGGGGTGGTCAAGCGTGGGGCACAGTGGGCCTTGGTTGAGATGTGAAGAAAGCCTCGCTCTCCCACAAGGGCCGGCAAATATCTGAAATTCTTTTTTTTTTTTTCATTTCATTTTTTAAAAAATGTTTTTAACTGGAGGAAAATCGCTTTACAATATTGTGTTGGTTTCTGCCATACAACAACGCAGATCAGCCATAATGATACATGTATCCCCTCCCCGTAGAGCCTCCCTCCCCTGCCCCCATCCCACCCTTCTTGGTCATCACAGATCACCAGACTGGGCTCCCTGTGTTAGACAGCAGCTTGTCACCAGCTCTCTGTTTGACACATGATAGTGTATATATGTTGATGTTACTTTCTCCATTAATGCACTCTTCCCTTCCCCTCCTGGGTCCACAAGTCCATTCTCTCTATCTGCATTTCCATTCCTTTCCTACAAATAGGTTCATCGGTGTCATCTTTCTAGATTCCATATATATGAGTTAATATATTTGTTTTCTCTTTCTGCCTTACTTCACTGTGTAAACAGGCTGTAGGTTCATGAAATTCTAATTCTTCATTCTTTCAGGTACTAAGCACTCTCCACCCTTAATGAGGTCAATAGTAGTCAGTCATACCTTATGAATTTGTTGATAATGTCCTTTCCAGTATCATCACTACATTAAAGCAAGTTTTTTTTTTTTTTTTAAATAAAAAGTTTTATTGGAGAAAAATAGAACCACCACGTACACAGGGAAAAGAGCACAAAAATTCAACTGATACAGAACTGAAAGTCACAACTACCCAATGTTGTTGGCGATTACTTTTCAATTTCTTAAATGGCTTCCATCAATTTTTTAAATAGCCTTGCCAATTTTCAGCTGAAATAGAATCAAGTTTTCAAAAAATTAAGAGCCTCAGCGAAGGGACCAGCTTTTAAGATAACAAAGGTGACACCAAGAGTCTCCTAATAGGACCAATTCTACCGAAAAATTCCTGAAGCACATAACTACTGAGTCTGGTAGAACAGTAGCTCAGAGACCATCAGGGATTAGTTAGAACACTGACTCAGATGGTCCAGTATGCAGAGAGGGCAAACAAAAAAGCTGCATTTCCCTGTCAGATGAGTTCACATAAGAAAACCAAGGAGGTGCTAAGAAAATACAGGCAATGGCTGCTCAAATTAATTAAGAAGGCATTCTAAATACCACATATTATTAGACAACAGTGTGTAAAGTGATGCAATTAGAAAACAGGCAACTTTAAAAAAATATGGTCACAGGTCTTTGAGAACTCAAGAAAACAATCAATAGCAAACACAAGAGCTGAAAGTCTTCTCAGCTGAGGGTTGAAAGTGAAAGTGAAGTCGCTCAGTCATATCCGACTCTTGGCGACCCCGTGGACTATAGCCCACCAGGCTCCTCCGTCCATGGGATTCTCCAGGCAAGAATACTGGAGTGGGTTGCCATTTCCTTCTCCATAAAGCAAGTTTTAAGAGAGGCAGGGGAGATGCAGAGCCTGAGCCCGGGGGCTGCTGCCTGGAAAGGCCGGGCCTCAGTGAGTTGCCTCATGGGGAGGCCTTTCTCCAGGACACCTGTGTGGGGTGGGAAGGCTCGGGTACCGCAAAGGGGTTGGTTTATCTCTTCTTCTGTTGCTAGATTGGCATCAGCAACAGGCCTTGTCTAACTGGAGACCAGAATGTGCAATCAATAATGGACTGGGCCTCGGGTGAGGGGATCTCTGGGGGTAGAGGGAATGAGGAATGAGCTGGCATGAGGAAACAGGGAGGGGCCAGCTTTGGCAGACGTGGCTCAGGCTGTGGGAGTTGAACTGGGCCTTGAAGTTGGGGTTTTAATTTTTGGCCACACAGCATTCAAGATCTTAGTTCCCTGACCAGGGATTGAACCTGGGCCCCAGAAGTGAGAGCGCTGAGTCCTAACTACTGGACTACTAGGAAAGCCAAGAGGCAGGACTTGTTCAGTTGCTAAGTTCGTATCCGACTCTTTGCGACCCCATGTACTGCAGCACGCCCCCCCTTGAACTGCAGCACACCAGGCTTCCCTATCTTTCACCGCCTCCCGGAGTTTGCTCAAACTCATGTCCGTTGAGTCAGTGATGCCATTCAACCATCTCATCCTCTGTCATGCCCTTTTCCTCCTACCCTCAATCTTTCCCAGCATCAGGGGCTTTTCCAATGAGTCGGCTCTTCAAAGGACTAACGGGTAATTTTGCCCACCTGTCGGCAATGGGGGTGGCTTAGAAGTGGGGGAGGGGTGCAATCAGCCCCTCCTTCCAGAGCCTGCTCTCTCTCAGCTTCTGCATTTTCCCTTCCCCCCTTTTCCTTGCCCATTTCTTCTCTTTCTTTCTTATTTCCATTCCTTCATTTGTGTAAGGTTCCATTCCATAGCTAGCTAACGCGTCTATTTTGACCTGTGGTCTTCCACCCTTTTCCTAGTCTCTAGGCTCTGTCATAGTGACCTACAGTACAAGGATTACTGTTGTATTTATGAATGTTCATGTTCCCTGTTGGACAAAAGAGTGGGTGAATTAGCATCAGATTTTCTTTTCCCTCCCAAAGAGAACATGTAAGTAAATAAGGGCATCCTGTACTTGCTTAGGCCTTCGATTGTTTCCATTGTGAATCTGTAGTCCTTGGTTACCAAAGGAGGTTCATGGTGGAGATGTGTAAGTTTCCACTTTTATCTTTCATTAGAACCAGCCTGCCCTTGCACTTTTCCATTTGTTCTTCAGGTGGATGGGGTCAGCTACCTCCTTCAAGAGATCTATGGGATTGAAAACAAGTACAACACGCAAGAATCTAAGGCAAGTTCTATCCATGGTTTTTTTTTTTTTTTGGCCTTTCCCTGCAGGATGTGGGCTCTTGGTTCCCCTATCAGGGATCAAACCCTGACCCACTGCAGTGGAAGCACAGGCTTAACTACTGGACCACCAGGGAAGTCCCCCTTCCACAGTTCTGAATGTCCTCTTCCCAGAAGGCAGGGTGAGACCGTCTCTGATCCAGCCAGGATCTAGGAATTTAGCACACCAAACTCTGAAATTTGTCTGGTCCTAGAAGGTATTTCTTCTTCCTCTTTTCAGATGATTATAATTATATTTAAATTTGGAAATGAAAAAAAGGGCTGGTTTGGATGGGTTCTTCTGCGGGGCTCTGCTCACCCTGTTCCTTGGTCCCTCAGTTCATCTCTCCCCTCCCTCCCTGCGTGGCCTCCTGGGCTCCATCAGCTCTGACTGACGGCCAGGACGGGATCTCAGCCCCAGAGGAGGAGCTTGGCATGAACAGTTGCCAGAGGTGAAACTGGGTGTGCACATGCACTTGGTAAACGATAATATCAAGTTCAATGCAGGTGCAAGATTCTGTTCATATTGTCTCATCTCTGCAGGCAAGCTGCCTTCTAAAGAGAGTATGGGGGATTTCCCTGGTGGAGGGGTCCAGCGGTTGAGACTTCGCCTTCCAACACAGGGGTTGCAGGTTCAATCCCTGGTCAGGGGGCTAAGATCCCACATGCCTTGCAGTGAAAAAACCAAAACATAAAAAAGAATAAATAAATAAAGCAGGCACTATTGTAACAAGTTCAATGAAGACTTTAAAACTGATCCACATAAAATGAACGGATGAATACTAAAATAAAGCATGGGTCGTGAGGGTCTCTGTGACACTGGCTAACTGTCCCCCCCGGCCAGGTGGCTGAGGACGAGGTGAGCGACAACAGCGCTGAGTGTGTGGTGTGCCTCTCCGACGTGCGGGACACCCTGATCCTGCCCTGTCGCCACCTCTGCTTGTGTAACAGCTGTGCCGACACCCTGCGCTACCAGGCCAACAACTGCCCCATCTGCCGACTGCGTAAGCCCCCGAAGCCCCACCGGTCCCCCAGGTCACACCCCCACCCCCGCCGGGGCAGCTTCCGTGGAGGCTCTAGTCCCTCCTGACTCCCCCAGGTCCTGATGACCTGTTTCCTTCTTCGCAGCCTTCCGGGCACTGCTCCAAATCCGAGCCATGAGGAAAAAACTGGGCCCCCTGTCCCCAACCAGCTTCAACCCTATCCTCTCATCCCAGACCTCCGACTCAGAAGAGCATTCCGTAAGTTGGGCATTTTTTTTTTTTTTCACCTTCTGTCCTACTTCACGTGGCTTGGCAGCAAGTAATTGAATCTTGGCACTCTGAAGAACTGAGTAAGCTGGCCGAGATCACATTGTGTTAGAACCCCCCGATAGGACAGTGGAAAAAGAGGTTCTGATCGTTAAAACCTCCCCTTTCCGCCTTGAGAACTCAGTATCCAGTTAATATTTACCATCTCTAGAGCCAGAGGCTTGCTGTTTCACTGCAGAGGTGGGGTCAGTTCTGGAAGGCCCCCAGGCAGAAACAAGAGGATGATTGTTTGAGGTTTAGATTCAACTTACTATTTTTATCTGAATCCTCAGAGCAGGTGACTATTTTTCTTTATCTGGTTTCATGGCCTCAGACACTAGGAGCCAAGTAGATGAAATAATTCACCTTGGTCTCGTAATGTAAGTGATGGTGCAAAGCTTCCAAGCTTTGTAGTTATAGACTGGAAGGTCTTGTCTTTAGGTTAACATTTGAGTGGAAGAGATTAATTATTAATTATTCAGTAAGTGGTACTGGAATGATTAGGTAGCTATTTAGGGAAGAAAAATCAGTTAGTTTAGCACTTCACTCCTTATCAGATAATGAATTCCAGGTGGAGTAACTAGTTAACTACCCTAAACACAAAGCAAACCAAACCTTAAAAACCTAGAATACTTTACAGATGATTCTTCAGTTGACTATGGATGGGGGTTCTCTAAGTGGGTTCTCTAAGCTTGAAAACAACCCAAAACAAGAACATGTAGATTTTATCACATAAAAAAACTTTAAACTTTAGATATGTAAAAGATGGCCCAAATTAAAAGGCAATCAATAAATCCTATAAAGAAAAAAATGTAGGCACAACAAAATGTAGTCAGAGGAAAGGCTGGGATCTCTAGAATAACTCACCTGAATGAAATAATAGATAAATGGGCAAAGATATATATAAAAAATTTCTCAAAACAGGAAACATAGCTGGTTAATGATCAAACACATTAAAATTTTAAAAGTCAACCACATTAAAAATCAACAACATGCAAGTTAAAATGAGAGACCATTTTTCACCTTTCAAATTTAGAAACTTCCTTTTTTAAAGATAACCCATGCTGTCCAGAAAGCAATTAAAATAGGTATTCTGTTCTGCTTATAGGAGTATACCTAGAAAGTTCACTATAAAAAACAAACAGCTGTATATATCAAGAGCCTTAAAAAACATTTGTACTTGGGGATTTCCCTGGTGGTCCAGTTGTTAGGACTCCGTACTTCCAATGCAGGGACCACTGGTTTGATCCCTGGTTGTGGAACTAAGACCTGCATGCTACGCGACAAGTCAAAAAATAATAATAATAATAATAATAATAAAATGAAACTTTAAAATGGCTTTGTAAAAAGAAAAAAAAGAGGTGTATGATAGGGTGAAGATTTAATAAAATTAATAATTGAAAAAAAAAAGAACCTTTGGACTTGGTAATCTAAGATCTTAGAATTTAATACCCAGAAAATGATCTGAAAAAAAGAGATGTGTGCATAATAAATGAACAGATGTTCATCAAAGTGCTGCTTACAGCAGGAAATGGATGCAATTAACTAGCCATCACTAGTGGAAGAATTAGGAAAGGTATGGTATCCATGAAAAGGGACACATGTGAAGGAAAATATGTTCTGTGAAATAAGCTTGGTATAAAATTATTATTTACAGATTGATCACAACTGTGTAAACAATACAGAGGGAAAAAAATTGGAAGAAAATACACTAGAATGCTAGCGAAAGTTATCAATTTGGGTGACTCAGTTGTTGACTTTTTTCTTTCCATTTTTAGGTGTTTTCCAAATTTCCTGTAAAGAACACATATTTCTATTATAATCAAAAAATAAACATTATTAAGAAGAAGCTCATGTATAAGTAGAGTCTTGGCGCATGTGGTTCTCTGATATTTTTTCTTTCTTCTGCCTCTAATACAGAAGCTTTTCTTGGCAGAACCCCCAGACTAGATATAAAAGGATGCATTTTTCCACCACAGAGGAAGAAACACACTCATACCATAAAATGAAAAGTTATCTAATTAGTCTTTCAACCTGTCTTTGATGCCCCCAGTCCTCAGAGAACATCCCGCCAGGTTATGAGGTGGTGTCTCTCCTGGAGGCCCTCAACGGGCCCCTTACCCCGTCCCCAGCGGTCCCCCCGCTCCACGTGCTTGGAGACCGACACCTCTCAGGAATGCTGCCTTCCTATGGCAGCGATGGCCACCTGCCTCCCGTCCGCACCTTCTCCCCCCTCGACCGCCTCTCCGACTGCGGCAGCCAAGGACTCAAGCTCAAAAAGAGTCTCTCCAAGTGAGTAGGCGGCGAGCGACAGCGTTGGCCCTGGGGTCCCTGACGAGATGCTTTCGGTCCATCCTTCCACTCCTCCGTGCTCGCTCCAGACCTGGGTCCCGGGGGCGGCGTAGACCCTCTGGGCTGTTGCCAGAGCTGCTCATTTCGCTGGAGACCTGGGCTAACGACACCTGAGGGGGAGTTATCCCATCCCTTAGGAGAGGAAAATAAGATGGTACATGGGTCCTTAGGAGGATCCAGATGGATAAAACTTAAGGTGTTCTGTTTTGGGAGGAGGGTATAAGGGACAGGGAAGATGACATTGTTACGGTCATCTAGGGGAGCATCCCTGGGGAGTGTCCCTTAGTCTGAGGACTGAAGGAAGCTTGTGATCTGTATTTCCTAAGTATTTACATCCACCTTGGCACAAGTCATGGAGCTTCCCGGGTGGCATGGTGGTCAAGAATAGGCCTGCAATGCAGGAGACGTGGGTTCAATCCCTGAGTGGGGAAGATCCCCTGGAGGAGGAAATGGCAACTCACTCCAATATTCTTGCCTGGAAAATTCCAGGGACAGGAGCCCGGCGGGCTACAGCCCACGGGGTGCAAAGAGTCAGGCACGACGGAGCGTGCATGCACAGGCCCAAGTCATCATATCAGTTTCCCTGGCAGAAGAAAGGAGGGTATTTTACAGATACAAATACTGAAACCCTAAAAATGTCAGTGGTTTTCCCGAAGTTCAGACACAACTATTTGAAGGAGCAAAAGGGAAAACTCAGATTTTTCTGACACCCAGAAGAGGTCTCAGACCCCTCGGTACCCTTTCCCATGTCTCCACTCCTTCCTAAGAGGTGAGTTCCGTGCAGTTCCCCCCACGGTCCTCTGCTCCCTCAGACATCTAGTTGATGGGAGTGTGGGCAAGTTCCAGTCTTTAAGTGGGCATTGGCTGCAACTGTTTCTCCCTACGGCCTCATGCAGGTCTGTCTCTCAGAATTCTTCTGTGCTGCCCGAAGAGGACGATGAGCGTTCCTGCAGTGAATCTGAGACACAGCTGTCTCAGAGACCGTCAGGCCAGCATCTCGGAGAGGTAATATATGCTCCATCCTTGTTGGGTTTTGGACTCTGGGTCCTTTCCTTCCTGCCTGCCGGCCTCTTCCGGTCCATCTGCTCCCATTCACTCATCACACCTTCTGAACACTCTCTGAGTCACAGCAAAGGTGTCACTAGACTCATTCTTTCAACAAAGAATTGAGCCTGTGTATCTGACCAGGCGTGATCCTCTGTGCTAAGAATAGCAACAATGGGGAGACACTAAAGTCCTGCCCTCGTGGTGCTTATTATAGGTTTGGCAGTTGGGGTCGGGTGGACATGCAGGACCGTCAAAGACAGTCAAAGTGTATAGGTGGTACCGTGGATCAGTGTATCAGGTAAGGGAGGGTCGAGGCTAGGAGCGGGGATGCTCACTTTAAAAAGTGGTCCATGGCGGGACCTCCCTGGAGGTCCAGTGGTTACTTACGACTTTGCCTTCCAATGCAGGGTGCAGGTTCGATCCCTGGTCAGGGAGCTAAGATTCCACCTGCCTCGTGGCCCAAAACATAAAACAGAAACAATATTGTAACAAATTCAATAAAGACTTTTAAAATGGGTCACACAAAAAAAGTGATCCATGGAGAATTCCCGGGCTGTCAAGTGGTTAAGACTCTGTGCCTCTACTGCAGGGGGCAGAACTTCTCAGACATTGAAGAGGAAGGCGAGAGAAACATTCCTGGTCGTAGGGACAGTACATGTGAAGCACAGAGCAGAAGTGGGGGCCCTGAGCAGGCCAGTGGTAAGCGGGAACTTGGCTTGACCAGGGACCCCCTGGCAGAGGTGTGCAGACAGGATCAGGCAGGAGACAGAGAGCTCGGCAGGGGGGAACGCCTGAACCAGTTTTAAGAAAAGAATGCCTGGAGGAGAGAGAATGGGATATGGAGGGAGAACCAGCAGACCTTTGCATCTGTCCGGGGTGGACTGAGGTTACGAGCCCAGGTGACGGATGGCGGGGTGGGGGTGGGGGACCGGTGGGGGCTGGGGAGGGAGATGGTGTTTATGTTAGATCCATCGAGCTGGAACCAACCCCCCCATCCCATAGGAGAAGCCCAGGGGGGCTCCGGGGCCTTGACTGGTTTTGTGTTCTTCCCCTTCAGAAGGAGAGCTGTTTGTAATCCTGGGGAAGCCTGGGGTGCCCCGTGTCACAGCTGCTAGCTGACCTGGGTCATCTGAGCTGCCGCCTTTGTGTGGCTCCAGCAGATGCTGGGCCTCGGGCAGGAGGCGCTCGCACTTCCCCGGGGAAACAGCCAGCCACCCCGGGTCAGGGCTGCATAGAAGTGATGACAGAGGAGAAGCCGGCCCTGCCTCGCACGTCAGCCCCCTCCATCCCTGGCCCGGGCCCCCTGCCCTGACCCCTTCCCTCCGACTCTGCCTCTCCCCAGGAATGTGATGTCACCCCAGAAAGTGAGAACCTGACCCTGTCATCGTCAGGAGCTATTGACCAGTCGTCCTGCACGGGAACCCCGCTCTCCTCCACGATTTCCTCCCCAGAAGGTACCTGAAGAGGGCGGGAGTCAGTGACGCTTCTAGTATTTCCTCTGGGATGGACTGGGGAAGCAGCCAAGTGATACCTCAGCGGCCGCACCAAGTAGGGCCCGACTTGAGAGGGAAGTGGGACTCGGTGTCTTGCAACGAGAGGGTGGTCTTGCCACCCAGCTAGGGGGAAGGCAGGTATCTTGCTCCCAGTCCTACTGTTGTAAGATTTCTTTTAACATCGTAACAGGCAAAAGCAAATCCCTCACCCCTGAGGTTGAGTTCGGAGCTCTAAAACGTAAAGGAAAGGGATTTCCCTGGGGTCCAGTGATTCAGACTCCGAGCTTCCAATGCCAGGGGCTCAGGTTTGATCCCTGGTCGGGGACCCAGGATCCTGCATGGCCCACAGCATGGCCAAAAAGAAAAAAATTTAAACTTAAATAAAGCATAAAGGAGTTGGCAAACCTTAAATCTAAACCCTATTTGGTGAGGGCAAGGCCAGGCTGCCATGGTCCTCACGGCCCCCGGGTGTGGGGAGAGAACCCTGCTCCCAGGGAATTCACAGCAGCCGTGCCTGATCTCCATCTCCTTCCCCCAACTCCTGTCTCCAAAGACCCTGCCAGCAGCAGCCTGGCCCAGTCGGTCATGTCCATGGTGTCGTCCCAGAGCCAGCACTCCCAGATCAGCACCGACACCGTCTCCTCCATGTCCGGCTCCTACATCGCCCCTGGCACGGAAGAGGAGGGGGAGGCCCTCCCCTCCCCCCGGGCTGCCAGCAGGACCCCCTCAGATGAAGAAGAGGTAAGCGGGGGGTAAGGGATGGCTCTCACCTCTCTGATTCTGCAGGCTCATCCCAAGCAGCTCAATCCAGGGTCTGCCAGGGAGATCACAAAGCCCCCCCGGTGCTCGGGAAGGGAGCCTCAGAAAACAGGGTACCGCGTCCTTAAGTCAAAGATGCCCTCGTATCTGATCTTTGGTTTGGCACCACTTCTGTCCTGAGGACTTGGTTTGGGTTTGCTGCCAGGCAAGCTGGGGAGATGAGCTGGTGGTGTCTGCACCTTGATTTTTGCCGCTCTTCTGCAGGTGACGCCCGCAGCATCTCCAGACTGCAACTTCATGGGCCTCGCTGCCGAGGAGCAGGACGCAGAGGTAACAGCCAGGCGGAGGACGGTGGTGCCCCCTCCCCAGTCTAGGGGCCTTCAGTGCTGGCAGAGGGTGTGAATGGGATGGGAGCTGTTCTGGAAGAAGCCTGTTAAGAGGCGGGTGCAGAGCCGAAGGACTGCCCCGGTTAGCGAGGGCACTGGTCTCAGTGTAATAGGCGTGGAGAAAGTTCTAGAGAGAAGTCTTCTAGGCCAGACCCTCGAGAGGGTGTTTGTCCTCCGTTCGCTTAGTATTCACCCGGGACAGCCGGCTCACGAGTGCTTCCTGGCAGTGGGGGGACACTGACCAAGTGACGTGGCTTTAGCCTGCCCCCCACCCACTCCACCCATCCAGGAGCTCCATCCGGTGGAGGAGTCAGGATTGTAATTCAGCATGAGAAGTGCTCGGACCCAGCTGTGGGGCTGTATAGGAGCACTCGGCTCACAGTGGGGACGCCAGAACTCTTTTTTGAGCCACAAGTTCTCAAAGACATATCTGGACAGGGTTTGGGATCCTAAGGAATTTCTGAAAGTGTTTTGATCTCACAGTTTGCTTTTTCAATTCACAACTTTGACATCCACCTTAGAGAGACAGTGTGAGCTAAACCATTACCAAGACTATTCTTGAGAGTCCTAGGATCCGTCTGTAATGTGCCTCAGACCTGGTCCCTGCCAGCCGATCCTGCCTCGCCAAGCAAAATCTGCCTCTGCTCAGCCTCTGAGCCGTCTTATGTGGATGGGAAACGCATAGAGGCCAGGAGGCTGGTTGGCGCTGTTTTCGGCCACTCAGTACACTCATGTCACTGCTTTCTGGACTCATAGCGCCTTCCTTCTGTCCTAGGGGAACGATGTTCTAGAGGAAGAGGACGCATCGCCCACACAGGAAGATGGTAAAAGACCTGGTCTTTGGCTCCCTGTTATCATATTTCTTTCCTGGGTATTCGCTAACGGTACAGAAAGGGGCACCGGTGTGACTGGGTGGCACTGCTCAAGGGTGCGGCTTTGGAGACATGTTGTCTTCTTGATGAAATATCAAAAAGCCAGCAGGGTATCCGAGGACCTCAGTGGCCTTCCCAGCTTTTTCCGGGCCCCCGGGCCAAGGTTGCAGAAGATATCATTCAGGTGGTTCTCCATCTACATGGAGTAGATTCTGAAGCTCCTTGGGCAACTCCCATCACCTTCCTGCTTCAGCTTCTCAGCAGAGTCTCCTGGAGCTGGTCGGGCAGCCCTGGAGCTGAGCTGCAGCAGGAGCAGAGGGCAGTTTACATTGCTTGGGAAGGACTGCAGGCAGCAGGTCTGGTTTTGCTTTAGTGAAGAAAAGGGCTGCTATTACCGTAGCAGAGGGGGCCTTAGCAGCAGGGGGCACAGCGAAGGCGGGGGAGACCGGCAGCTCAGGGCGGGCCGGCGCTCTCTAAGCTACTGGGGCGATTCTCTTTACTGTCATTTAGGCCTCAGTTACATCTGGGTTTTTCTCCTAAGTTGGAGTGGTCGGTTTACAATGTTGTGTTAGTTTCTGCTATATGGCAAAATGAATCCATTATATATATATATAGAATATATATATACAATATATAATTTATGTACAAGATATATATACACAGCATATATGTACTATATATATACAATATATAATATATGTACAAGGTATAAGTATCATGTATAATATTTTATTGTATACATACATACATATAGGTACACAATATATGTGTACAATATATTATATATATACAATATATAATATATGTACAAGATATATATACACAACATATATGTACAATATATTATATATATACAATATATAATATATGTACAAGGTATAATAAGTATCATGTATAATATTTTATTGTATACATACAGGTACACAATATATATGTACAATGTATTATATATATACAATATATAATATATGTACAAGGTATAATAAGTATCATGTATAATATTTTATTGTATACATACATACATATAGGTACACAATATATATGTACAATATATTATATATATACAATATATATGTACAAGATATAATAAGTGTCATGTATATTTTATTACATACATACATATAGGTACAACCACTCTTGTTTAGAGTCTTTCTCACAGAGATCATTACCCAGTATTGAGTGGAGTGCCCTGTCCGATACAGTAGGCCCTTACTAGTTAGCTGTTTTACATATAGCAGTGCCTGTATGTCAATCCCAATCTCGCAGTTTAGCCCTCCACCTCTTCCCCCTCCCAACCATAAATTTGCTTTCTACATCCGCGACTGTTTCTGTTTGGTAAATAAGGTCAATCATATCTTCAGGGGAAGACTTTTGTTTCTAGTAAGCCTAGAGGGGGCTCCTGGCAGAGCAGGGAGCAGGATCCGGCGGGGCTGGGACTCCCACCTGGGAGGGGAGGACCTGGCGGCCCAGGAACCGGTGTCTCTTCCCTCCGCTGCTCCGAGGCGCCTCCGCGGAAGGGCGACCTCCAAAGCAGACCCGGACCCCAGCCTGGACGCGGGTGTCGTGCTCGTCGCTTCTGCTTTGGCGCTGTCCGTTGCGGGGTGCGGGGGCCGCACGCACTCGGGACGGGAGCCGGGGAGGAGGGGCGTGGCGGCCCAGACTGCGCCTCCGCCCCAGCCCAAAGGGGTTTGGGCGCTGCAGTGGATGTCTTGAGGACTGGAGTTCCCCATTGTGATTGTCGCCCCTGCAGAATATTAGCCTCTGGGAAGTGCAGGGCAGCAAGTGGTTTCCGCCTGACATTCCAGAGCCCAGCACGGTAGCTGTATGTTTCTTCCTCTCCCTTCCACCAAGAAAAAAAAAAGGGGAAAGTCTTGAAAAAAATAACGTCTAAAACTGTCCCCATCTTACATGACTCTAGGTTTCCGCGTCAGTCCCTTAGAACAGGGGTCCCCAACTTCCAGCATCTAATGCCTGATGATCTGAGGTGCAGCTGATGTAATAATAGAAATAAAGTACACAATAAATGTAATGAGCTTGAATCATCCTGAAACCATCCCCCCCACCCTCTGGTATGTGGAAAAACTGTCTTCCAGGAAACTAGTCCCTTTAAAGGTTGGGGGCTGTGGCCTTAAAACGTACTCAGAATAACAAATTAAGCCTCATCAGAAAATAAATTGTAATTTTGTGAACTAAGCGATTCTTTGATTTGATGGGCAAAATTATGGAACCGAAGAGCTTTAATTGCTGTTTTATGTATTAGTCATTTCGCAGAGCCTTGTGGTCATAAACATAGCCCATACAAACCCACAGTCACGGGCCAGAGGCGGAGTCGCTTCCCGGTGGCTCCCCCAGCTCTTCCCAGCCTGACTTAGTCCTGCTCTGGGCCTGGGCCCACATCCTGCAGCCCTCCCCAGGGTCTGACTTCCCAGGAACGCGGGCTGGAAAGGGGCCTGTTAAAGAAACAGCAGGACAGCAGGAGAACACAGTTTGATTCCTTTTTTGTCCACTCTTTACCCACTTAATTACTGTCTTTTTTTTTTTTAAACATATGATATGATTTTTTTTTTGTCTCCATCCTTAAGATTTTTATTTTAAGGACAGCAAAGCAGAGAGAAAACGCAGCCAGCCCCTCTCTAACTGCCTTAACTCCGTTACAGGCCAGAGGACATGCGCATTTCTAGGTATGGAGTGTGACAATAACAATGACTTTGACATCGCCAGCGTGAAAGCACTGGACAATAAGCTGTGCTCTGAGGTCTGCTTACCTGGTGAGTGGCAGTCTGCTGAACATGAACTTGGTGGGAGACGCTCCCTCCCCTGCTCGCACCCCTGCTCTCACCCTGGGACACCCACCTCCCGCCTTGGAGTTCCTGCAAGAAGGCATGGGCTTTGTTAAGATGCTGGAAGCCGGTTGCTGAAAGGAGAGTCCTTGAGCAAAGAGAGACCCCTGCTCTGAGCGAGACTGTTAGGGCAGGAAGAAAAGGGGCAAAAATCCCTCCCAGTCCTTCCGATCTGGCCTGACAGGGCGCCTCCATCACAGTCTGACAGATCCCATGGCAGGGGGCCACGTTTTGCTTCCATCAGCAGCACTGGAGGCAGACACCACCTCTTCGAGAAAGTCTTAGAGAGTCCTGAGCCCTTGAAAAGGGAACTTGCAACTCCCCAGAGGAGCGTGGATCATTAGGATCAGAGAGGAATTTGAGAGTCAGCGTTTTATAGATGAGCGAGTGGCTCTGTGACCCAGGGAGGCCTGGGTGACCACCAGTTGCCTTGTGCTCACTGGATGTGGATCCCAGAGGAGAGATCAGGGGTCAAGGGTGCCTCCTCTCCCTGGAGCCTTAACTCTAAATTCGATCAGGGCCATCAAGGTGCCCCTGACGTGTTCCCACGATGCTTAACTGAACCTGGGATACATTCTCCCGGAGAAGCTCACCTGTCGGTCACACTCCAGGCACTGAGGTCCCTCTGCTCCTTGCTCACTAAGGGCTCCACCAACAGGCCTCTAAAGCCACATCTTGCCCAGCGATCTAGGTCGACGTTGCCTCTCCTGGGTTCACAGCAGAGATTGCCTTCACGTTGCGTGGTTCTGTAATCTTTTGAAGTGCCCTGAAATGAAGGCTTCCTTCGTTTCAGGACACCCACGTCTTTGTCGTGGGTCCAGTGCTTTAATTGCTTGGCGACGTGCCTATGGGGCTGGAGGGACAGCCTCCTCTCCATCAGCCTGCCAAAGACCCAGGTCCTCACCCCTCTGGCCCCGAGCAGGCTTGCGGCGGGGGAAGCCGTAATTCCCAGAGACACCTCCCCAAGGGCCCTCCGGTCCCTCCCCACTTAGCGCTGACCCTGCCAAGTCTGCCGGGAGCGGCTGGGGCCCAGGGTCCGCTTCATTCCTGCTTCCCGCTCCTTACCTGGCTTCTGTCTGTCACTGTGTTTCTCATGTCTTTTTGCCAAATGTGTAAGTCTGTCCGGTTTATTTATTTTGAAACTCATTTCTGTTATCCAGACTCTGTGAAAGTTCATGTTCACTCGTGCCTGACCCCGAGCTTGCTGGGCGTGCGCACACCCGAGCGACTCTTGCCGAGGCTTCCGTTCCTAACTGGCAAGGGCCTATATTCCACATTCTGGGATTTTTTCAAGGAAAAAAAAAATTTCATGTAAATAGATGAATCCCTGTTCCTCAAAAATGGATGCATCCGGGGCAAAGGTTGCGGGAAGAATTTGTTTTGGTCAGTAGTTGGGGAAGATGACCAGGGATTCCCTGGTGGGTCAGATGGTAAAGAATCTGCCCGCAATGCAGGTTTGATCCCTGGGTCGGGAAGATCCCTCGGAGAAGGGCATGGCTTACCCACTCCAGTATTGTTGCCTGGAGAATCCCATGGATGGAGGAACCTGGCAAGTCCATGGGGTCACAAACAGTCAAACACGACTGAGTGATTTAACGCTTTCACTTTGGGGAAGATGACATCTCTGCCCTGTGTCTGTAGTAGCTGTGCCCCCTGGGCTTTAAGAGAGAATTCTAGGTTCCTCCCTCCCCCCGGGGACCCCCCCCTTTCCACCCTTGTTTTTTGGCAGAGGGAGCTGCTGGGAATTGTTTCAGCCAGCCATGCCGGTGGAAACTGATCCCATTCTGTCTGCTTCTTCCTCTCCCTAACTCCCTCTGGCCAACCTGCTGGTGGATCTTTATTCCACTGTGGGCTTGCAGGAGGGGAGTGAGACCTGGGATTCCTTATGGTGATCTCGGGAGCCAGCCAATCTCAGATTAAACCAAGCGCAGCGTCCGGGCCGTGTGAAAGCACATGGCTGGGATGGCTGCTCTGGGCCCAGGCCTAAGTGCTCGAGGGGGTCCCTACATCGCCTCACCCAGAGGTCTCAAGCTCTTATGGGAGAGGGCAAGTACATCTGCTCCCTCGGTACATGTTTCTCCAGTTCCACTGTTAGCATCACACTGGTAGCAAAGTGCTGGGAACTCTCTGGAAGGAGCTGTCGGGTTAATGACAGAAGTACCCGCTTTGGTAGGTCCGTGGAATAGACAGACTTCGTCACACTCAGCTGGAAGTTCTGATTTCCACCCTGTGACTGAGGTGCTGCAGGCTGGCTTGGGCGCCAGGACAGCTTCTCGGACTCCTTGCGAGTCTCCCTCTTTACAAGGATGTCAGTCCCCTCACGGAGGGCCCACGAGAAGCAGAGCCTGGGGAATATCCATGGTCCAGCGCCCCCCGCCACACACGTACCCTGCCAGGATCCCCAGCTGATGGCGAGGACTGCTCGCGTCCCCATCCTCCCCACTCTGATCACCCATGTGGGAGTGACACTGAGAGCGCACCTGTGTCAATCCAGCCCCTTTTTCTCTAAGAAGCTTCTGGATCTTCTTGGACCCGAAAACTAAGGGTGGGAGTGAGAATATGGTATATTATGAGGTTGTTCTGAAAGATTCTCAAAGGGAGGAAATCTGAGTTGAGAGGGGTAGGTGGCGAGCAGATTAGAATTGCATGCTAGGTAGATGTGGTGGCAAGGAATATGATGGCGTATCACACAAGTGGCAGGATAGTACTCAGGGGACCGGTGACAGTTCTGTGAAAAGGCTCTGGGGAGTGATGGGGAAAAGCAAAGATAATATGGTTTAGTGGAAATACAAATGTTTTTAAATGACTGCATTGTACAGGAGTGGGCATCGCCAAGGAAATGTAAAATACTTATGGAGGGAATTCCCTGGTGGTCCAGTAGTTAGGACTTGGCGCTTTCACTGCCATGGCCCAGGTTCAATCCCTGGTTAGGGAACTAAGATCCCCCAAACCGTGCATCATGACCAGAAAAGCAGAAAACAAAAAAGTACTTATGAAGACCTCAAATAACCCAAGACTAAGACACTACTAGGAAGGGTTACACTTCCCAGATACTAAGGAAAAATTGAAATGAACATCCTATTTTTCTGGAGAGACCCTACAGGATGCTCTGAACTGTTACAGCCCTTATATTTAATTAGTGGCTGGGCAGAGACAGGAAGATGGCTCAGACAGTAAGGAATCTGCCTACAATGCAGGAGACTGGAGTTGGATCCCTGGGTTGGGAAGATCCCCTGGAGAAGGGAATGGCTACCCACTTCAGTATCCTTGCCCGGAGAATTCCACTGGACAGAGGAGCCTGGTGGGCTATACAGTCCATGGGATCGAAAAGAGTCGGACGTGACTGAGTGACTAACACTTTCAGAGACAGGAAGGGGTGTGCAGAAGCACCCTGGATGTGCTTCCCAAATCTGCCTCTAGAGGTCTCTCCACTCTCCCATTTCTGAGTCCCCAGGATGGAATTGAGCGAGAAGCACCTTTCTCTGTCCTTGCTGAAAGACCCTGAATCTCCAGGCTCCCTTTTCTGGCTGAGGGCTGGACAGAATGGCTTACCTGCTGCACCCAGGCTCGCCCTCTGAGCAGGAGGAGCTGAGCAGCAGCAAGGTTTGGCCAAGGGTTCAGCAGGGGCCCTTTTTAGAAGACAGGGTACTGTCACGAAGCCCAGGAGCACAGAGGCTTCAGGTCTGAGTCTTGAGGTGGTTTCGGAAGGAGCCATATGTGCGCCCTGGCTCAGGAACTGGACCGGTGGCGTTGGTAGCAAGGACTCATGCATTCAGACCTGGCGGCCGGTGGTGGTAGCCGTGTAGAGACGGCGTTTTGACTTTGTATGTGCGTGTGTGTCTGTGTGTCTTCTCTCTCGTTTACCATTTGCTTTTGGTCTTTCCCACCAAACAGCCGCCGTTCCGGAGTCCTGCCCCCTAAACATTGAGGAATAGGTATGAGTTCTACCAAATTATATACTTGAACAAACAACTCACTCTCTCTGGGGGTTCTTAACTTACAAGGGCGATCTGGCCTACTCTTCATGCCATAGTCACACTTAGAGGGCCATCCTTAGAGGGCGCCAGACTGCAGTGCCCCCAGGGAATAGGGACCCCCACATTCTGTCTGGCTGCAAGAGATAACCTAACAGTTTTCTGTCCCGCGGACTCCTCTGGCCTGGGGTCCACCTCTGCAGGCTAGTATCAGAGGTTTAGGATGGATGATCGCACCAGGACTTTATGGGAAATACTCAGTTTCTACCCACTTAATCCTAGTGTTTTTGCCATTAAAGGGTTTTGTGTCTTGGGCTGGGCCTAACCGAAGGCTGACTCCAGACCCTCATGAGTGGCCTCTGTCACAGAATATACTGAGCCTCAGGCCCCCAGTCCAGGGTCACGGGCTCCATCCTCGGAATGAGACCCCTGCTGGGCCAGGTGTGGCTCTTGGCTCCGCCCAGGAGAAGGTCACAGTGCAATGGAGGAATTCAGGGATTCAGCAATTTTCACGGCATGAGGAGGGGGGCAGTGGTGCAGGCCGTGGGGGAGCAAGTTGGCACACGCTGGACCCTCTTTGGCCAGGGGGCCATGTGGGACAGGCTGGGAGAGGCAGCTCGGAGGTTCTCAGGCCAGAGGTTGGATGGCTTTCCCTAACTCCAGGGGGTTAGGGCTTCCTCCTTTCCCCTGGAAGGAGTTCTTGTTGCACTGGAGGGAATGAATGGATGGAGCCAGTCTGTGGGCTGGAGGACTGCTGGGAGGAGATGAACCTGAACAAGGCTGGGGGTGGGCCTGGTTGTCGAGCCAAGCACATTCTAAGAGTCAGGCACCCTGCTCAGTACTCTGCTGTGTCGCCTCACTTAGCTCTCCCAGCAACTCTGGGGGCTGAGTACTCATTTCCATCTGATGGATGGGAAACCCGGGACTCCAAGTACAATGACCTGTCCCAGGGTCACACAGTCAGTATGTTACAAGTTGGGGGTGTACCTGGTTTCTGACTTACAGATTTAGACATGACTAGAGGGTGAACCGGAGAAGGCAATGGCAACCCACTCCAGTACTCTTGCCTGGAAAATCCCATGGGCAGAGGAGCCTGGTGGGCTGCAGTCCATGGGGCCGTGAAGAGTCGGACACGACTGAGCGACTTCACTTTCACTTTTCACTTTCAAGCATTGGAGAAGGAAATGGTAGCCCACTCCAGTGTTCTTGCCTGGAGAATCCCATGGGTGGAGGAGCCTGGTGGGCTGCCGTCTATGGGGTCGCACAGAGTCAGACACGACTGAAGCGACTTGGCAGCAGCAGAGAGTGAACAGCACTTGCTTGGTGGCTCAGCGGTAAAGAATCCTTCCTGCCAAGCAGGAGACCTGGGTTCGATGATCCCTGGGTCAGAGAGATCCCCTGGAGAAGGAAATGGCAACCCGCCCCAGTATTCTTGTCTGAGAATCCCATGGACAGAGGAGCCTGGAGGGCTACAGTCCAGGGGGTTGCAACGACTCGGACATGATATAGCAACTACACAACAGCAGAGGGTGAACAAGCCAGAGATCGTGATTGGATACACAGCACAAAGGAGAGAAAAGCCCAAATCAAGGGCTGTGGGTGTTTCCAGCGTGGGCAGCCGGTGCTTCCGGTGCAGGAACCGCGGCCTGGGGACAGGATGATGAGTTTAGGGGATGGTGCCCGTGGGACCCCACGGCTCTGGGGCTAACATCTCCTGGGGTTGATGGCACCAGCTGATAGCAAACCTCAGCGGGCTGTTTGGGTGCAGAAAGAGAGGAATGGCCATTGCACTGTCCTCCCCCATGCCATTCGGCCCCTGGCACCCTCTGGACAGCCAAGCACTTCTTGCTCCACCCTGGCTCCCACAGCAAACTCACTCTGGGCCCAAATTAACCTATTGTTCTCCCTCCCATCCACTTCCTCCTGCCTCACGAAAATCTCTGCTAGACCCAGTTTCTTTTCCTTGTCTGCGGTAACACTGAAGCAGACTTTAAGACCAAATAAAGACACAAATGTGGGTCCTAGGGCAAGGTCCCAGAAGGCAGGGACCATCCCGTGTGTCCCGCCATTGTGGGCCCCAGTGTCCGCGACTGTCCCTGGCCCAGTGGGCACCACTGCTCCTGATGCCTCACGTGCTGTGGTTGGCACACCATGGGAGCTCCAAGTAAAGGGCAGCCTGCCAGCTTTCGTGCCGAACTCCCAGGCTGCCCTGCTGGGGACACCATCTGGACCGATCTGGAGGTCCAGCTCGAGTAACCTTGCTTTTCCCTTCTCAGGTGCCTGGCAGGCCGATGACAACGTGGTGAGTCGTCGAAACACGCAGCGCCGGCGCTTGTCCTCCGGAAGCCTGGAGGACCCCGAGGACAGGCCCTGTGTGTGGGGGCCTCTGGCCGTCTGAGAACCCCCGCCTGTGTACCAGGGCCCTCCTCCTGTCCTCGCATCCCTTCCTGGCCTCACTGCACTGCTGACCTGCTGGGCATCCTTAGCAAGATACGTGGAGACTCTTTAGACCCACGTGCAAGCTGGATGCTTGAGGGCACCTGCTCCTTCTCCCAGCCTTCTTCCGCAGTCGTGATCCTTCCCCTCTCAGAAGGGACCAGAAGCCTCCTTGCTCCTTGAGGGCTAAAGCCACGGGATGAACTGCAGCTCCTGAGACCCTCTGCAGAGACTTTTTGAAAATGTTTCCACCGAATCTTGGCCTTCAGGTGGAGCTGAGGCCCATGGACCGGCTGTTTCTTGTGCATCTTCTTTCTCCTTAGGCGGGTAGACCAAAAGGACTCGGCGTTTGCGTGACTTCATTACAAACACCTAGCATTTTCTGGTCTCTGGGACATCATGACCAATCTGAAACCTCCAGTTCGGGGTGGGGGTTTGGGGGATGACTCCTGCAAAAAGGGAAAGCCATATTGCACTAGAAGTGGAGTTCCCCCTCAAAAAGTGTTAGGAGCTCCTTTCTCAAGGACAGGAAACAGTGGCAACCACTGGAAGGTTGGTTGGGAAAACAGTTCTTGCTTCTTTCTGGTGGCAGAGGCAGTACCTCATGTGTCTGTCTGCTTAGGAAGGAGGCTAAATCTTGCTTGAATCTGAGAATCCCTTAGTTACATGGCTCCCTTCCGGAGGGTTATTTATGATCAGGTGCACTCAAGAAGGCCTGGGACTCCATCCTACGGTGACACCGCAAAAACCATTTGACCCCTTCTATGTGCCAGGCACATGTTAGGGCACATGTTAGGAGTGGTATCACATTTCATCACTACCGCCCTGTCAAGTGGCCTTCTTATCCCCACTGTAGCCATCTCCACCCCCTTTTCTTAAATATTTGAAGAAACAGGTTGAGAAAGGGGGTGGACCGCTGATTCTCAATTGGTGCCCAGGAGCCCCAAAGGAAGTTGGGGAAAGGGCTGAGCTGGGGCCAGGGGTTGTCCAGGGGGCTCCCCTCCCCACCCGTTGTCCTCCCCTGCCTCCCCCCCGCCCCCGCCAGATCTGCTGAGCCTGATGGGGGGGGAGGGTACTACCTTCCATAGGCTTATTAGAGATGTAGAGGTATTGTTCAAATCATGTGTCCACCCCACCCCACTCCAGTCCTGTGTAGGACATATAACTGACACCCTGAAACAGCAAGGCCAGACTATAAGCTATTGACCGTTCGTGTCTCAACACTGGTGTTATCACTGGATTCCTCCTGGCTCCCAGATAGGTGTATTGTCTACCAGCTTTTGGAAGAGGTCGTTGTTAGTGGAGCCTGAGACTGGGAAGCAAAGCTGGTTCCAACAGTTTGCAAGGTAGATACATGATTGACAGAGCCCTAGGATATGTCCACCACAATGACCTGAATTAATAGTTGGTGTTGTGACCCTCGAAGAGCTTTTCAGGTCCTTCCCAAGGCCTCGAAGCTAGCCCAGTGCCCAGGGGACCTTTCGAACCTTCCATGTAGTTTCTTTGCGCTGCCAGGCAGGTGGTGACCCTCACACTGCTTGGTGGCTGTGGTTTACATCCTGCTCTGGGGGTGGGGAGGCCTGCAGTCCCAACAGACACTACACAAGCCAAGCCTGAATCTCTGCCTCTGTCTTGAGTTTCCTGCATCCACCTCTGAAATCCTGCAGCGGACTCTGCCATTTCAGGCCCCACTTCATGTCCTTTCTCTCCCCGAAACATTCGTATGGCCCCTATCATATTTAAGATTTGAGCAATAACCCCATTTCCTGATTTCCTCGAGATTTGAGCCCCAGAAACGTGAGGGAATGAGATTTGAGCCCCAGAAACGTGAGGGAATGGGGACCTCCCTGAGCCTGGGGTGGCGGCATTCAGACCCACCTGCTCTCCCGGCAGGTAGTATTCACAGTGTGCTGTTACTTGAGATGAAGGCGAGGCAAGTAAACAGGAGCCACGGCGGCCAGGAACCCTAAGAGGAAGCCGTTGTCTTCACCCCTTCTGGAGGGTCTGCCTTCTCCTGGAAGAGGCTCAGAGAGATTCCTCAAGGCCTTGGCTCCATAACCAAGACTGACCTGGGTGAGAAATGGCTCTTCATGCCTGCTTCTCAAGACAGTTCCTGCTCTCTCCCCAAGCCCCTCACCTCTCTGCTCTCATTTAGCTCTTTGGCAAGTAGAACTTTCACTGGTGGCCCAGTGGTTAAGACTCTGCACTTTCACTGCAGGGGGTGCAGGTTCGATCCTTGGTCTGGGAACTAAGACCCTGCATGTCACATGGTCTGACCAAAGAGGGGGGAAAAAAAATTCCTAGAAATAGCCCATCTAGAGAGGCTGGTCTTCAGCCTGGTCAGGGAACAGGGCAGATGCCCCAGCCATCATCTGGATACCATCATGTTGTAAGCAGGTGACCCAGAGAACCTGTGACAGGGCCTGGCTTCTCCCACGAAGGCACAGACTCCCGAGTTTGGGGTTCCTTCCTGCCATGCTCAGGTCTGAACTCACCTGTGAGCTCACTTCTGAGTGGTGCCATGACCCTGGCCTCCTTGAGCCCTTTTTCCTTCCCCTACCCAGTCCCACCCCACCCCCAGAGGTCATGCCCATGCTGGGGCATCGCCTGGGCACAGATCCACACACTGTAAGCCATCTCACCTGAGAAGAGTTCGTGTCCTGTCCACCTGATCTCGGCATGCTGGTTTCTCACTTTGCTTTAGGATCTGCACACCTAGTACACGGGAGTCTGTGTGTCCTGTCGTGCCATCTGTGTACCCCTCACTCCCCGGAGTACACGTGTGGGCACACTACAGTGGGGACGTCAAGGATGCAACATTTATGGACTGCTGCATGATTCTTAAAAATGAATAAAACTGTTGACAAGGGAAGGAGAGCCGTTAACTGCGCAGCTGGCTTATTTGTGAAAGTTTCTGTCTCACTTTCTCCAACACTTTATTATTTTTCCTCAAGACAAGCTGGATATGAAGGAGTGAACTAGGACAAGGGATTGGGAAAGACATGTTTCTGGATGGGAGTTGACTGTCCCCTGGCCTGGGTGCAGCTCCTGTGCAAAGGCGTGATAACGAGCCCTCCCCTCAACCCCCACCGCCTGCCCTTAAACCGGAGAACTTCCAACTGCAGCTGCTCAATAATTGAAGAGCAGGAAAGCTGGTGACTGGAGGGAGGCTGGGAGAAGGGAGGAGGACGGACTATAGTCCGCTGTTGGTCCTCATCACTTAAAGGTTGGTGAAATTAACGGAGCAAATGATCCTGGTAGGGGAATTTGGCAAGGGCATGGCTTTTCTGGGTACCACCCACTGGCTCAGCTTCCTCGGCTATCTTGAAGGGAGGGAGAGGCACTTCCGAAGTAGGTTCTGGGATGTCAACTTCTGGGAACCTTGCTGAGGATGGGGCTGTGAGGGAGCGCTTACCAGGAAGCAAGGATTACCCTTCCCGCCATGGGGGTGTCTGCGGACCTAAGCGGCAGGTGGCATCGGAGAGTTAGACCTGCCTACGGGCACCACTCGACAATCAGGGTCGGGAGACCGGGATAGGCCGCAGAGACGTGCGGAAGTGCCACTCACAACCCAGAGAGGAAAGGAGAACCTCAAGCACGCGGTCCCCGAGTCTAAGCCGCTCCCAGCCTTGGCCTCCGCGCCCCAGACTGCGTCCCAGGAGCCGTCTACACCTCGGAGCAGCCCAGACAGGAAGGTGTGGCGGTGGAGGGGGTAGGGCGGGAGTGAGGTTCCCGCAGGGGACGGCTCACCCGGCGCCCCCGGGGCCTCGGCTGGAGCGCCGAGCCGCGCGCCTCTCCGAACCCTGCGCGGGGCCCTTGCGCGGGAATGTTTGGAGCCGGGACTCGGTGGCGGGTAGGGGGCTGCGTGGCGCGGGAGAAGGCGGCAGGAGGAGGGAGTTCGAAGAGAGTTACCGCCAGAGAGAGTGTTAAGAACCCGCGGTCCCCTTGGAGACACACTGACCAATGGCAGAAGCGGAAGCTGTTTATAGGGGCGGAGCGTCGCCATGGCAGCAGGAGAAGCCTTCGGAGCTGCTACTTAATGCCGGTCCCCCGGCCTCTGGCGTTCAGAGAGGCGCCGTCGGGCGTGGGGGCGACAAGGACTGCTGGCTGGGCCCTCGAGCTGGGGGTGGCGGGGGGGTCAGAGAGCCGCAGGGGGTGGGAGGAACTTCTTCCAGAACATTCCTTTGGCCCGTGCTGCGCTCTGAGCCAGGTAAGGGACGGGGTGGTCTGCCGGCCGCGGAAAGGGAGGGCGTCGGCAGCAGCCTGCTCTCCCATCCTTCCCCGACGGAAGTGGCGGGCCCGGGAGACTGACATCAGAGAAGTTTGGGGGACACTCACTTCCCGCGCCCCTATAATTCTCTATCCTGTTTCCTTCCTTCCTTCCCCTTGCTCCCTCATCCTAATAGCCCTTTTAAAAAGATACTGCCCTCCTGGGCTCCTCGCCCCGTTTCCATTTGTTATGGAGGGAAGGGAGAGCGGTTGATTTCCCACTCTTGGGGAGAAGAGAATGTCCTCGGATGTCCCTTACACTCTTCCCTCGTTTGGCTAATTAAGTCTCCTCTAAAACTTCAAAGAGGAAAAGAGCCAGGCGGACCCTGCGGAGGTTGGACCCCCCGGGCACAGCTTCTGTTTCCCAGACCAAGGCAGTAAAAGATCCTCCCCAGCTGCGGGGACGATTTTAGAGGAGCCCCTCCCCACTCCTTGCGCACACTCTCTCGTCGGGGTGGGGGAAGAGGACTCAGTTCCCCCTGTGGTCCCCGCAGGCACCTCATTCAATTCGGAGGAAGCGACCCCCCGGGTCGCGGGATGGAAGCGCTCTTCCGGGAGGCTGTGTAACTCGAGCCTCGGGCGTCAGCGAGCCAGAGAGCTCGGTCGGCCACCCTCGGCTCGGCTCGTGGATGTTGACCGCCCCCTCGGAGAGTCCCCACAGATATGGCGGAGAGCTGGCTACGCCTCTCGGGGGCAGGGGCGGCGGAGGAGCCCGGGCCGGAGGGCGGCCTGGAGGAGCCCGACGCTCTGGATGACAGCCTGACCAGCCTGCAGTGGCTGCAGGAATTCTCTATTCTCAACGCCAAGGCTCCCGCCCTGCCCTCGGGGGGCACCGACCCCCACGGCTACCACCAGGTGCCAGGCTCGGCCGCGCCTGGGTCTCCCCTGGCGGCTGACCCCGCCTGCCTGGGTCAGCCGCACACGCCGGGCAAGCCCACATCATCGTGCACGTCGCGGAGCGCGCCCCCGGGGCTGCAGGCCCCGCCTCCCGACGATGTGGACTACGCCACCAATCCGCACGTGAAGCCGCCCTACTCGTACGCCACGCTCATCTGCATGGCCATGCAGGCCAGCAAGGCCACCAAGATTACCCTGTCGGCCATCTACAAGTGGATCACGGACAACTTCTGCTACTTCCGCCACGCTGATCCCACCTGGCAGGTAGGGGAGCCCCTCCAGCCCGTCCCACGCTCTCGCGTGCTGGATCCGCAGGCGCCATCAAGCCAGGGCCTGAGGGAGGAAGGCCGTCGAGGAAGGACCTCTAGGGAGCCCAGTGCTTGGAACTGCCCCCACTCTGACTTCAGAGAGGAAGGAGGGCGGATGTTCAGAGGGCTTTAGGGGTGTTGAATTTGAGGTTCAAGTGGAAAGAACTTGTCCGTCATCCAGCAGGCCCAGTCCAAAAACCAGGGCTGAACTATGCGTGGATGCTGGCCCCCTAGAGGGAGGTTGATGGACTGAGGGACACATTTTTGTCCCAAGTCCTAGAATTCCTAGACACGACCCTGCTCCAGGCCAGTTTGTCAGGGCCGGACTGGAATCGGAAACAGGCTCTACATCCTGCCTGGTTTCAGTTGGCTGGAGGAGGACAGGGAGGGGAGAGGGGCTGTGCTCTGGGGTTTGAAAGCCAGCTGTGTCCCTGTGGAAGGGCTGTGGGGCCTTCCTAAAGCTGTTGTCCCAGCCCCCACCCCAAACCCTCCCCAGTTTCCTGCCACCACTCCTCACCCCCACCCTTCTCATCAGCCTCCCTGGGGGGACAATTACCTGAGCCAGGTGCTTTCCACAGGGGCTGTGCCTCCCACACTGGCTTCATGTTCCAAGTCTCCAGAACCTGGCACAGAGCAGCCAAGGGGCCCAGGCCGCCATGTAAACATCCCAGTCTTGTCAGGGGACACTACCCACCTGCCGGCCCCACTGTCCAAGCCCCAGACCCTTGTTCCCCAGCGTTGTTGGGACTGTGCACCCAGGCATGAACCAAGCAGGGTAGTGATGGGAGGCTGGGCACACCTTGCCCTGAGCATCTTTGACCATCAGCATCTTCGATCATCTGCCTCGTGGAGACAGAGACCCAGGATGCGCGGATCACTCCCTGTGGCACAGGCCACAGGATCGCAGTTCCAAGCTGTTCCACATTTGCTTAGGCTCTGACCCGGGGGGCAGTACCATTTGTAACCTTAGTGAGAAAGTAGAGACACCCCCCCCGCCCCGCCACCCTACCCCAAGCCTGAGAGGCCCAGGAATGAGCGCTATGCTCTTGGCCCTCTTGGCCGGGTAATAATCAACTGAGGCCTCAGAGCCTGGAGTGGGAGGAGGGGGGTGTTGGGGGTGGGGGGTGAGGGCCCAGACCAGCGGCCGGCTCTACAAACAAGGAAAATCATCAGATTCCACCCCCCCCAGACACACACACACATACACACACTCACACCCACTCACTGACTTCACAAACAGAGAAGGCCAGCCAGGCCCAGGCAGAGAGAGATGGCCGTCCAGGCCCTGGGGGAGCCGAGGCCTTTGGCCAGAGGCCGCAAGCGGCAGGGGAGGGGAGGGAGGGCAGGACAGGGTGGCACTGAGAGCCATCCTGCGGCTCAGGGCTCGGATGACTGAGCAGGCAGATATCCTGGCAACAGGGAACAAAAGCCCCCGACAGCACTCCCGGCTCCCCGTGCCCCGTGGCTGGTGTCCCAGAGCCTCCTGGTCGGAGCAGCGCCTCTGCCACCCTCCATCCCTCCCAGTGGCCCCCGTCGGAGAGAAACTGGTGGGGGGACTGGCGCTGGATGCCCCCCATCCACGATCCTGCCCGCTCACCCGCTCTCCTCTCCTCTCTCCCTGTGTCCAGAATTCCATCCGCCACAACTTGTCCCTGAACAAATGCTTCATCAAGGTGCCTCGGGAGAAGGACGAGCCCGGCAAGGGGGGCTTCTGGCGCATCGACCCCCAGTACGCGGAGCGGCTGCTGAGCGGGGCCTTCAAGAAGCGGCGGCTGCCCCCGGTCCACATCCACCCAGCCTTCGCCCGCCAGGCCGCGCAGGAGCCCAGCGCCGCCCCGTGGGCCGGGCCGCTGACCGTGAACACCGAGGCCCAACAGCTGCTGCGGGAGTTCGAGGAGGCCACCGGGGAGGCGGGCTGGGGCTGGGGCGCGGGCGAGGGCAGGCTCGGGCATAAGCGCAAACAGCCACTGCCCAAGCGGGTGGCCAAGGCCCCTCGGCCCCCCAGCACCCTGCTGCTCACCCAGGAGGAGCAGGGCGAGCTGGAACCCCTCAAGGGCAACTTTGACTGGGAGGCCATCTTCGACACCGGCACTCTGGGCGGGGAGCTGGGCTCGCTGGAGGCCCTGGAGCTGAGCCCGCCGCTGAGCCCCGCCTCACACGGGGACGTGGACCTCACCGTCCACGGCCGCCACATCGACTGCCCGGCCACCTGGGGGGCTTCAGTGGAGCAGGCTGCCGACAGCCTGGACTTCGACGAGACCTTCCTGGCCACGTCCTTCCTGCAGCACCCTTGGGACGAGAGCGGCAGTAGCTGCCTCCCCCCGGAGCCCCTCTTTGAGGCCGGAGATGCCACCCTGGCCACCGACCTGCATGACTGGGCCAGCGTGGGTGCCTTCTTGTAAGAAACCAGGCCCTGCCCCGCCCCCTCCGGACAGCACACACGTCTGGGCCCAGACTGCCCCCCAATGCAGGCCTATGGACACCCTACTGCCCAGGCAGGGGCTGGGCCAGTTCTCCCAAGGCTGACCCCACGAGGACACAGGGCCCCCAGCCTGGGCCATGCTCAGATTCCAGCCCAGGAGGCTGAGAACTGGGACCTAGGACCAGAGTTGCTGCCTCCCCTCCCCAACCCCCCATACACACAGTGTTTCATTGATCCACTTCTTCCCGGCCCCAGGGACACACTCGGGCCCCTGCACTTTGAGAGCTGCAGCTTGGAGGGTCCGTGCCCAAGCTGGAAACCACAGTACAGGGTCCGTCCCAGAGCATCTTAGATTCAAGACTTCTCCCTCTCCGGCTCTCCTCCCCAGGTCTCTATCCAGAGAAGGTTCCCAGGTACAACAAATGCTAATTAGATGACTGCAAATTAACCCCCTAGAGGCCTCTCCCGGCAGAGCTTCCCTGGGGCCGGGGCCGGCAGTACGTGGGGCGGAGCTGGGGAAGGGGGGCAGAGAGAGGAGACTGAATCGAGGTCGGGGTGCCGGGTGGAGCCAGGAGATTTTCTAAGGCCTCTGGGGCCTTCTGGCCCCATCTCTAGAGGTATAAATCCCTAATCTTTGAGCCCAACTTGAGGCTGCGAGCAGCGGGGAGTTGGGTTTCTGCGGGGTTGGGGACAGGAGCAGCCAAGCTGCAGAGGGAAGGGGGGACAGAAAGACTAATGTAGTGAGTGTAGCTATAGCTGAGGCTTAACCGGGAGGGACGCGGTGCTTGCTAGAACCACTGGGACCAGGAGGCGGGGGGATCGCCCCGCGCCCCCTGCCTATGCGTATGCAGGGGAGTGCCTTGCTCCACCCGAGCCCCTTGGGCTGTGTCCCACACCCACCCCCCTGCCCCGCGGGGCAACTTAACTTTTTCACGAAAAGTTATTTACAGTAAAACATTTTTAAAAATAAAGCTTTTAAAAATTTTATAATGGACCTGCTTGCAAATTTGTTTGGGGGAGAATGGAGGCCAGTTTTTGGGGGGGGCTTCACTGCCAAGGGGGAATGGCTGGGAGGAAGATGGTGCGGGTGGGGGGCACCAAAGGCCTGCAGAGTACCAGCTGATGCCCTCCCCATGACCTCTGTGTCCCCAGAGACAAGGACTGAGAGGCAGCCCTTGCGGGGTGGGGGGGGGCCTGCAGCCAGCTGTAGCACCTCTATCTGTGCAGTGGGGAGACAGCACCTATAGTCCCCAGGGGGCAGGCAGCAAAGGAGGCGCAGCCCTCTCCCTGGCCCTGGGGACTCAGAAAGGCCCAGCTTGCCCAGGGCTTGGTTCACGTCCCCCAACTCCCCCACCACGAGGGCCTGCCCGGGCTCGCCTGCGGTCCTCGCCTGGGCCTGTCTCCAGCTCCTCCCTCGGTCCCTTTCTGGAGGGACAGGGTGTGAGGTTAGAGGGCCCCAGCCCCAGGGCCCCTACTTCCCACCCTGGGGTGCAATCACTCCACCCGGCACCTTCCCTCCAACACAGACTGAGGGTGAGGAAGGCCACCAGGGAAGATGAAGGACAGGGTGCCTAGACCCTACCCTCCCACCGCCAGGTTCCAGCCCGTGGGGAACCAACCTACCAGAGCTCTGATGGGGAAACTGAGGCACAGGAAGTGGGTGACACTCATCACTCCCCATCCCCGACCCCCACTAGCCCTGCCAGCCCTCTCCCATGGTGCACGGCCCCTTCCCCCAGCACGCGTGAGCACGCGCGCGTGCGCACACACACAGGCGCAAACAGAGGCATTGTCCCACACAATCCTGCCCAGCCTCCACGGACCCCTTTCTCCCGAAGCCCCTTTCTTTCCCTGCACTCAAGGCTGGCTCCTGGCCAACCTGGCATTCCCCGGTTAACTTGCTGCTTTCACTTGCTAATTATTCCAAATATTTCAGAAGGGCGCTCACAGTACAAGGCCAGCGGGCTGGGGCCTTACTGAGCTCAGAAACCAGCCTACTCTCTTCCCACAGCTCGCTGAGGAGGCTGCCCAGCCTCCCTCTTGAGACAACTCCCCCCTGCCCCAGCAGTGGCTCCCTCCCTCTCCCCACCACCCACCAGCCTTCCTCCCCACGTTCCCCAGCACTGGGGGAACCCGGGGGCTCCAGGCTCTCCACTGGTCCCCAGGATCAGCCTCCAGCCCCCTTTGGCGGGGGTACAGCCTGGATTGACAGAGGGGGCCTGTCACTGTCCCCCCTCCTCACCCTCTGCCTGGGCCCATCCTGGGGGAAGTGGGGCAAGGTCAGGGTGCAGGTGAGAAAAGGCTGAAGGAGCCTCTGGTTGCCAGGAAGAACCACCAGGAGTTGAAAATCCCCGTGCCTGGGGCTAGTGTCTCTGGCGGGGGTGGGGGCAGGGTGCAGGGTGGGGCGGCAGGCATCAGTACTTCTAAGGGTCCAAAGACACTTTCTAGGAGCAGCCAAAGCTGAGAGGGGAGCTGTGAAGTAGGCCAAACACTTCCTTGCACTAATGAGGGGAGGAGGGAGTAAAGAGTGGGAAGTGTGAGTATCAGATCCTGTCCCTCCTTTTCATTCCTGCTCTGACCCTCGGCTGGGTGGCTTTGTAAAAGAGATGTTCGGGGACTTCCCTGGTGGTCCAGTGGCTACGACTCCGTGCTCCCAAAGTAGGGAGCTAGGTTCAACCCCTGGTCAGGGAAGTAGATCCCACATGCCACAGATAGACCAGGTGCAGTCAAATAAATAAAAATATTTTTAAAATTAAAAATATAAAAATGACGTTCATTTACTTCGGATTTATTTGTAGGTTCAATGTAATCCCAATCAAAATATATTGTGCACCATTGACTAAGTTGCAGACAGGATGCTCCATTAGTACTAAATACTTTAGTGTGTATTTCCTTAGAACAAGCACATGCTTTCATGATAACCCTAGTACCATCATCACAATCAGGAAATTGACACTGACTTGGTAATCACATCTTGCTGGCCCAGTAATGCTCTTCTCCATTCCAGCATCTAAATCCAGGATCCCACATCGCACTGAGTTGTCCTTTCTCTTCTGAGCTGTGTGGCTTTGAGCCCATGACCCATGTCTCTGAGCAGATTTCTCATTTCCTTTGATGTCTGCTTCTTTTTTGGCTGTGCTGGGTCTTGGCTGTTGCGTGGGCTTTCTCCGGTTGTGGCGAGCAGGGACTACTCTCTAGCTGTGGTGCACGGGCTTCTCCTTACAGTGGCTTCTCTTGTTGTGGACCACGGGCTCTAGGCACACGGGCTTCAGTAGTTGCAACTCCCAGGCTCTAGAGCACAGGCTCAGTTGTCGTGGCACACGGCTTTAACTGCTCTTTGGCAGGTGGATTCCTCCTGAATCAGGCATCGAACCCATGTCTCCTGCCTTGGCAGGCAGATTCTATACCACTGAGCCACCAGAGAAGCCCTGATCCCCACTTTTGAGGTAAGAAGGCCCTGGGTCACTTCATTCTCAGGTGTTAGGAACAGTCCCTTCTCAAAGCAAGAGGCCACCATTCTGTCTCCTAACTTGCCACCTTTTCCCCATCCTCTCTTCTGCATGGATCCCCGAGCCAGGAAAGTGATGAAGGGGGAAAGGGCAGGAGCTCAGGCTTTGGGGGTCCTCCCCCATCTGTCTAGAGCACATCCCATTCCAAAGGACCGGCCACTCCTGGCTCCCGTGACTCTCAGGATGTCTGGAGGGGTCCCCCCCAGGATGGGGTCCCATGCTGTCCTGGAGCAAATGGGTCAGGCCTCCTGCAGAGCTGGGCCCAGGGCAGGATACACTCTCCTGCCCATCATGCCTTCCCCACCCAGGTGCTCTGGACACCCAGACCTGCAGAAGGAAGAGTGAGTGGAGGGTGGGAAGGGAGGCCTGGGAGGGCCGGTGGGGCCGGCGGTTAGGAGTCAGGCGCACTTCCGTCCCCATCCCTGGCTAAGGCCCAAAGGTAAACAGGTGTATTTGGACTCCTGGCAGGGGACAGGGGGCTGGCCCCGCGGGGCAGGCCTGGGCCTGCCAGAGGTGGGGATGTGGAGAGAAGCCTGCTTTAACAATGGGTGGCAGAGTGGCCCTAGGTCCTGCTGACACATTCTTGTGTGCTGAAGAGGAAAACACAGGTCACAGGGAGGGAAGGCATTGGCACCGGGGAGGGGGCTTTGGGAGGCCACCCAGGCGGGGCCTGCACAGGCCAGTGTCAGCCAAGGAGGTGCCTGGAAGCCCCGGGGGGGTCACCTTCCTCCTCGGGCCCCTGTGTCCAGCCCACTCCGAGGATCCCAGGTGGGGACAGGTTGGAGGCATTGTGACTGGCTTGCTGGGGCCTGGACTTTCCCTGTGTCACAGTCGGGCAGGGACCAGTGGAGGGTACTGTCCCTCAGAAGCCAACCGGACGGTACAGCAGGGCAGGGAGCGGCAGGGTATACGTTCACCAAGCCAGGAGGCTGGGCTGCAGGTCTGGCTGCCCCCCACTCCAGCCCCCAGATGCCACTCTGAGGGCAGGACGGTGGGGTCTGAGACCCAGACCCTCTTTTCCCTGGAAGGAAGCAGCTCACTAAGCTCCCAGGAATGCAAGCGCTCCAGGAAGTGGGGAAGCCTGGCGCCTTTCCCGAAGCCCACACCACCCACGGCCCCTGAGGCCCTTTGAAGCCGCAGTGGATTGCCGGAAGTGCTCCCAGGGCTGCTGTTTGCCCAGGGAATTAAGTTGAGGCTGAGAGGATGCCAATCTTTCTCCACCCCTCACCCAGCCACCCACCAGCTCTGTCAGTGGCTCGTCCCCTGCCCCCACACTGTGCACCAAGCCCTGCCCCCAACCCTAGGGGCACCCCATTCCCTCCAACTTGCCTAAAGTGAACCATGGACAGGGAGTCGAGGGCTGTGGCAGGGTGGCATACAGACCCCACCTCTGAGAGTTTTCATTCTCAGGAGCCCATGGGCCTGTAGACTCCAGCAGGCTGATAACCTGAAGCATTCCTATATCTGCAGCATCAAGGACAGGCCCCAGCTTCCGAAGCACTGAAGGAATGAATGCACAAATGAATGAACGAATGAAGGAGCCAGCTGAGCAGATCCACAAAAGGTAGAAAAACAGCCAAGTCGCTTCAACAAAATGTGACCGCAGACAGTAAACACTAGTGGGGTCATGGTCACTGGGCCCAGGGTGCTTCCTGATGCTCTCAGGGGTGCAGAGCATTCTGTCCTGGGGGGGGCCTTTGAGGAAAGCCCCATGCTGCCCTTTGCTGATCCTGTGGGTCTGGGTGGGGTAATAAAAGAGGGAGGGGGCCCTGATGCCCGCTGAAGCTGAGTGGGATGTGTGGCAGGTATGAGCCAGGGGAGGGGGGAGGGGGAGGGGATACCG